CTGATGAGGTCTCTGAGTGATATCGGTTTTATAAACAGGCCACTTAATCATTGTACAATCAGAAGCCGTAGTGGTGAATTTCTTGCAGTCATTTAATGCCCGCTCCCTTAAGTTTATAACTTCAGGATAGCAGCTGGCCTGTTCCCTTCTAGTTCAGAAGCTTACAACTAAAACACAGACGAAGAATGTCTGAAGTCTGAGGACACCTCTTAAAAGATAGGCATTTGTCCCTTAAAAAGCCACAGCATAGCGTAATGTTCAAACGGAATTTATGTAAGCAATTGTAGGGCGGAAATTCGCATAAAAGATGCTGGTCATGGCGAAATTTCGACGGACAGAAGCTCGACGCACAGAAATTCGTCGCGAACAGGTGTTGTGTCGGCCAAAACAACGTCGGGCTGTAGTTAACATAGTATGAAAGGTGGTCGAGGAAATAGAGAAAAAGGTAAAAAAGTCTTTCTTGGTTTAAACGTTTTTCTACAGCAAAATTTTTATCGCGGACAAATATTCGTCGTGCTACAGTTCGTTAAGGACAAGAACCGCTTAAGACAAAAACTTGTGAAAGACCAAAGTACGTTGCGCTAGAGTTCATATATGGCAAGAGTTTTGTCTGGGATAAAAGCTCTCTTGGGAAGAAATTTGTCAGACATAAAAATTACATGTAGCTTTGGTGAAGTGAACAAATATCTAACTTCTTGGGAGCTCACTGGGCACCGCTTGCCTAAACCGTGCATACGGAATTTAAACAATAGCCATAATAAACATATTTGTAATAAATGTCCTGTAAATGGTCGGTAGAGTTTGGCGTACTTGGTATATCATTCTAGAGTGGCCCGCATACTAACCTTACCATGCATGACAAAAAATTAGGTTATCTGGAATATCGAAACGCCTTGGTAAGGTATCTAACTTAAAAATCTATGGCAGCCTGCCAAGTGCAAATTTAGCAGCATTGGTGATGAATAGCCTGGGGGCACAAAAACCTCTTTGATTAATTTAGTACCAGTTAGTTTGACTTTCGTGCACATCTTCGTCTTCTTCCCCAAGACGTAATGCCCACATCAAGACTGGCAGCTTTGAACATAAAATTGATCAGCCGCTATTTGTTGCAAGCAAACAAAAATGTTCTAGCTTTGCAATGACGATTCGTGAATGTCAAGCGACTTAATTTCTCATTTCGAAATCGGTATGCATCATTGGATTCATTAGCGGAATCAAGTGCAAGAAAAAAAGAGTCTCGAATCGGAGTTGGTAGTCGATTCCAGATTGAGAACACTAGCTTGAGTTGTTATCGGAGAAGGTATCGAGTCGAAATACATTTCAAAAACACACACTGGAATCGAAATCGATTCCACTGGGCTACAATCCAGCACAAGTATATCCCCGGGACGAACTTATACATTGCCAAGTTTACATTGTGCACTAGTTTCATAAGTTCTGTTGTACTGGAAGTATTGCACTGGAAGGCTTCTCCCGACGTATAGGCTGAGCTCGTGGCTTACCCCGTCACCAACTCCTGCCGCCACAATCGTCACGCCAAGATCTTTCTCCAGTGATCCTCGCAGGCCCCCTGGAAACACAGACCGCTGTCAGAAAAACTGGTCGCCAGCATCCGCTCTCGCAGAAGCCTTCTGAATGATGAGTTTTAAAGCTCGGCGAAATCTCTGGGGCGGATTGTATGAAGATACATACGTAATACCTCCTCGAATTCTCATGCTGTTAGTGATAACGAATGTTGCGTTGTCTGTTTCCCGCAGTTTAATCACGTAATTTGTTTAACCTCTCGCTTGCGGTTGGGAAGGAGACATGTGTATATAATGCAAAACATTTGGCGACTGCTTGCCAAGGATTCGGGGTTGCGCGAACGTCGTTCCCAGATGTCGGGCGATACATGTTGTATCAGCTGTACATGGAACATATTGTATCAATAGCACAATGTACCGACAATATGTCACTGACTGGCTTGCTGCCAATGGTTAATGCCATCATATACTGACTTAATGTCATACAAAAAACAAAACGACATTCACATTATCTATGCCGACTGATGATTTCGACCTGAGCAACGGCAACTGACGTGACAGTGGTCGTAAAACAAACGCTGATTGATAAAGAGAAAAAAGTGTCGTGCAGCAAGCACGACGATTGTGAAATAGCACAGACGAGCAGATTTAATCTACATGTAGCGAAGCATTCAGCTTGTTGGCGATACAGCTTACGCTGTGATAAAAAAGAATACCATCACAGCTTCCCCCACGATGTGGTGCAATTCACCCCAGGGTGGGGCAAGTTCTCTCAGTTGAAAGGGGGTTATTCAGAAAACATTCGTTAAAGAACGAAAACGTTATCTCCAAATCTTTACCGCATCATGTGGATCTGAAGGTTGTAGGTGTTTGCAGATAGAATGCTATTAGTCTTATTCTCACGAGTTATGGTAGAGGGACCTCAGAGTAAAAACGGATACAACTCTCCTTACTCTCCCCTGGGGCTGCTTCAAATTCGATGTTTTGCCATCACAATGCCATGGCAAAAGAGGAACAGTGCAATGGAAGATGAGTTTTCCGATAGCTAGGATTAATAACTACTTTTATGTTATATACAGCGCGACATGACATAATGACAATGATGATGGTACGTTACAAAAAAAAACACTCAAGAAGTAAGTTGGTCGCCATAGTGAACAACAGGAAAATACCAGCCGAAAACATACCATGATATTTAATGATCCAAAGTAGAGAGTTAAATTTATGTCACGATATATGAGCGAAGGAATGGTAAAAATGTCTTAGCATTCGCCGTCATGCTGTTTATCGCAACCAGCCGCGTCATGCTGTTTGATAAACGACATTGCACGACATTCTCGATCGCGAAATTTCTGTTCAGAGTTGCCATGGTAAGAGCGCCGACGTGTCCTCACAGTAATGCTAGCGGTGGCATGCAACTGTATCTACAGGATAAATGTCTTACCTAGTGGGTGCATGCAGTGAAATCTGCACGAGCGTAGGCCGATACGCTACGTCCATACGATGCGTCGTGCTTAGGCCCACATCGTTTGAACATCAGGCCGGAGGGCCGCCCTGGTGCAATGTACAGGGCATCAGACTCGACGAACACAGCTCACCTATTTTGGCCGCCACTACTGATGAGTTGTAACCAACTGGGTTCGGTTTTACTTTAAACATCACTTGGTCGCCGACAACTCTGCAAAAAAGCGAAGCCCTCGTTATATGACAACGAAACTTCACTACCGCTCAAAATGTAATGTACCATGCTCAATAATGCAGCAGACGGCTGTAGACTAAGCCGCCACTACTGCAGCACACGACTGCAGCCTGACCTGCCACTACTGCAGCACACGACTGCAGCTAACCCGCCACTACTGCAGCACGACTGCAGCCTAACCCGCCACTACTGCAGCACACGACTGCAGCCTAACCCTCCACTACTGCAGTACACGATTGCAGCCTAACCCTCCACTACTGCAGCAAAAGATTGCAGCCTAACTCGCCACTACTGCGGCAGAAGGCTGCAACCCAACCCGCCACTACTGCAGCACACGACTGCAGCCTAACCCCCGGTCCCGCCTGCCCAGTTTCGAACATAAACGTAGACCCCGCTTACCCTGGACAAGGATGACATGTGCCTCACACCCTGACGCATATGGACGATATGACCGCTTAATGCAGAAAAGCACGATTTCGCACACGGGGAAGACCAGACGGCTGCACTCATGGTATCATATTATGATGACAGGCAGCAGTGGACGCAGCATCAGTACGCGGCACCTCAGAGGCAGTCCAATACTCCCAGCACGCACTGATCACAAGCCGCCAGTATTGGTCTATTTCTAACCTTCGCGCGGTACAGGGAACCGAAACATCAGCCAAATCACATTGCGCAGACAACATTCAAGAACATACCCTGCTTAAGCCTCAAGACCAGTCGTGTGTAATAACAGCGCTGAGCACTGCCACTACAGCCCGAACAAGACACAATAAGCAATTTAGTTTTAATAATTATTAAGTCCGACGAGAGCGGTCAGCGTTTCGTCACCGCACCAGACTCCTTGGGACTTTGGGGCCCTGGGACTTCTTTAAAGTCCCAGAGTTCATTTCAGGTATGGGCGATATTGGCG